GTACGGACCCACCTGTCCCTGCAGATCATTCTGCTTCTGCCTGACTTTTGCAGGGGGTGTTCCCATGGCCTGCAGTGTTTTGCTAGGCTCTGGGTTTCTCCCAGTGTGCTCAGTGTGCACATTATCTTGCCATGTGCAGCCTTTTTCACCCTGAAGACATCTGACCCTGTTTCCTTGCTGCCTTGCAGAATGAATTGCTGTCGTGAACGTCTGAAAGGAGATAAAGCAGCAGCAAACTCTTCTCCCCTGTTGCAGATAAACCACTATTAACGGCCGAGGGTTTCTGGAATGAAAAGGGTGACTCTCCATTGAAAGCAGCGATAAATCCTGGCCATCCAGCATAATCCAGTCCACCGTATCGGGAAATCTCATGGGAGCTGGCAGCACTGAGAGCAGCAAGGTCTTTTCATGCTACAGTTCTCCCGTGGATGGATAATCTCCATGGCCAACAACTGCAAATGCTGGAGGTTGGATCCTGAATGCTGTTACCTCGGCTTTTACTCCCCTTCCCTCCTCAGCAAAACCACTGCTGCCTTCTGCAGGAAGACAGGGTGTACCTGCAAACTTTGCCTGCAAAGGGGATCACAGGGCTGCATTCTGTATCCTGCGTGAGCAAGAAAATCATACATCATCTTCCTGCTGATCTGGCAGCGCAAGCAGCCCTGCAAAGCAGCGATTTAATGCACTTCTCAGTGCCTGAGCTTTTCGTCTTGCTATGCTTAACCTGATATATTGTTATTTGATGCAGAACAGTAGGGGCAGGTACAAAGAGGTAGCATGAAAATAAAAGGTCAGCGGGTGCCTGGTGCATGTAAAGGCTAAATTGGTCTTTTATCAAATCTAATAAATATTCCTTGTGAGTGGGGTGGGAAACTCCTTTCCTGAAATGCTGAAAGGCTTCCCTTCCTCCAGAGCCCCAGGGCTGCTGGATGAATCCAGGATGGGGCAGCAAGGGGACTGCAGAAACAGCCAAGGGAAGAGCCAGGCTCAGCCCCCACTGCGCATGAGGCTGCATTTTCCAATGTTCCTAAAAATATTCCTGAGCCTTTAAGTGCAAAACTGGTGGTTTGGATTTGGAAACCCAAAATGGAAACAGATGAGCTGCATCCCATCTTGTTTTCTCACCTCCTCTCTTTGCTCTCTTCAGTCGTTCCAGATTGGGGAGAGGAAGGCAAAGGAATGACCAAAAATGAAGAAAAACAAAACAAGGAATCATTTCCCCCCCCCCTTTTTTTTTCCCTGTGTGAGTGGCTATGATGTTTTTATAAGCATAGAAATCTGGGTGTGCTTTATTTCTTTTTCTTAAATGAAATGTAATGATTAGGAAATGGGGCACTTTGGCCCCTGATTCTCCTCTACCGCTCATGGAGAAGTGAAATCCATCCAGGCTGTGTCCAGAAGCATTTCATGTTATAACCTTTGCAGGTCTGGAGAAGTGGAGGCAGCAGGCAGAGCTTCCAGGTGCCTCCACTTCTGGGATGTCCATTCCTGATCAGCACAGGCTTGGTTTGCAGAGAGGCTTTGCAGCACAGATGTGCCAGCCTCCAAACGATGGATGGAGGCCCTCAGGGCTGTCTGCGTGCCCAGAGGAACTCAGCAAGGCGCAGGGATGTAAGCCAGGGCCACCCATGGCTCTGCTGTGGTGGTGCTGCTCCATCTGGAGATGCTGGTGTTGAGCTTTGTGCTTGCAGGTACACAAGTTTGTCTGGGAGGTGGTGTTGGGATGCTCCTCTTCTGCCACACATCCAAAGCCCCCACTTCCTCCCCTATATCTGCACCTGGCAGCACAAGGAACCTTTGGCCATAGGAACCAGGCAGCAGAGTGAGAGGAGAGAGGAACAACACGAGACAAATTCCCCATTAATTCAAGAGATTATTATTAGCTGCTAGAACCAGGAGGGTGAGCTGTTCTGGGGCGTCAGCAGGAGTTAAATCCTTACTATTGATTCTCTCCCTGCATTACCATGAATTAGGCCACCGAGGAGAAATGGAAGTGGACGTGAAGCAAAAGTGGGGATGGGAGGGGAATGTTTGCATGCTTAAAATATTTATGCTGCAAATTAACATGTGTTTTAAGCCTGTGATCCTTCAGACATTTATCCAGCATGAATATTTTGAAAACTGCATTAAAATTTGCCACTGGTGCTTTATTCATTAGGAGTGTTCAGCAGCCACAGACAGCAGTGCCTGCTAAATCTGTAATGCATCCATGCAGAGACAGCAGCTGGAGGATGTTGCCTGGGCTGTGAGAAAGAGCTTTCTGCTCCTACTTCCAAAGCGGGGAGCCTGGAATGAGTTCCTTACCCACATCGACTTCAGTCGTGACTGCAGATGTCACATTCAGCAGCACATGCATCTGGTTTTTGACCCAAGCAAAAATAATCTGATGGGAATGGGGTGAGACCAGTGCTCCCATGGGGAAAGGAGAGTTAGGGACAGGGGGAGGCGGACCCATGCAATCCTGCTGTGGGTCTGGTGGAACTGTGGGAGCAAACCAGGCTCTGCCGAGCACGAAGGTAAGATGTTCCTTCTTGTATATGCCAGCCCCATGCACAGAGGTTCTATAGTGGGGAACAGGGGGCAGCTCACCCCATAGCAGCTATCAGGGCTATTGCTATGGCTTGATATCCAACATTACGGCCTTCATCCCTGCCCAGGTGCAGGGCAGAGCAGAATATGGGATTTCAGCTGCTCACTGCTCTGTGCCTGCTGCTGTTGCCTGGGACTGGAGCTCAGTGCTGGCTCCTAGAGCTGCTTTTCATGCAGCCTCCTTGCCAAAAAAACCCCGAGCACACTGCGACTTGGAGGGAAAAGTGCAGGACATGGAGACAAATGCTCGCTGCTGCTGGCACAGGGAACTCACTTTCCCCAGATTCCTTGACATTGCTACTGATACATGGCTTTACAGACTTCGCTGCCACTGCCCAGTTCCTGTTAAATTACTCCCAATTATGGCAGACGTTTAACTTCACAGAACTGCGAGCAACTCCATTTTGCACATCCGTTTTTTGTGAAGCTTCTCACCTCTGCTGCAATATTGCTTCAAAAACCGGGAGAGCTTCCAGGAGCCTGAAGACTGCAAGTTGTTAATGGGGCTGCAGCAGGACAGACTTCTCCCATTACGATGGTGGGGGTCAGAATTCCAGCTGTGACTTTTATTTTCATGTATCCTCATTCTGCGTCTGCAACGATGTGCCAAGCCTGTCCTTACGGGCAAATGTAAAGGGAAAATGTGGAGGGTGGGAGTCAGGCCCTTATTTTCAGTTCTGTTTCCTTTCCCTTTTGAGCACCCTTTCATAATGAAGAGGCAAACCTGGCCGACAGAACCCAGCTAATTCAGATATGATTAATTCCCATTTTCTCTTTTTATTTTAAAGGCTGCCCTCTCCGATGAAGTGGAGAGCTTCATCACAGATGGATGGGAAAGCTGCCAGCCAGACACATTTTTGAGGTAAAAGGGGAAAAGACATGGGAAAGTTTAGTGCTTTGCAGAAGTGACCTTTCCTGGTGATTTGTCACTTCCCAACACCATCTGCTGACTCGTCAGCTGCATCCATCATGACTATAAAAGAGATACTGAAAAAAGTCAATTAAAACAGGGACTGGTGTCAAATGGGCATTGCACAAAATCTGTAGCAAAGGTGGGTAAGGAACAAACCGAGTCAACAACTATTGGTGATCCCCTTTTCATCAGCACACATAGCCACGGTCCCAGGGAGAAAAACTATGCTCACCACTCCAGAAGTTTTATCTCCAAGCCTGCTTTGCTGCGATAAGCTGCAATAAATGCACGGGGATCTTAGCGACTGCCATGTGTCTTAAGGAAGAATTTGGCCCAAATTGAGCAGTATTGATTGCAGTGGCAGTTGCAGAGGCCATTGCGAGGCCCAGAGCTTGGTGTGTGTGTACACATCATATCAACCAGCTGCAACCGAAATGGGTGAGAAAAGACATTTTAGAGGCCTGGGCCATAGCTCTTTTCCTCTTGTCTCCAGCAAATGTTGCTCACAGCTCAAGCATCCACGCAGAGCACCGCTGTGCTCCCCTGCCACATGAAGCTGTTTGATGCAGGAGGCTTTCATTGCTTCCCCAGCTCATTTTTTCCTCTTGCATCTCCCCCACTTGAGGCTGCTGGCTCTTGGGATTCCTCGTGCAGAGCCGCCGATTTGCGAGCAGCACCTGGACCTGATCCCAAATCCTCCAGCATCAGCATCTGCCTGATGGTTCTGTGGGACCAAAGGCAACCCTATGAGATCTTAGACAAATCTCTGTGCCTCATCTGTACCGAGAGAGGTGCTGGTGGACAGTTGTGTCCCTGAGGGGTGTTGTTGTGTTCAGGACTGTGAGAGGCTGTTATTAAGGGAATGGGCCACAGGAGGACTCAGAATGGACAGATAAATCCCTCATACTGCCTTGGCATCTCCCCACTGTTCCACTCATTTTATAAAGCTTTTGGTATAGCTTTAGCATGGATAGCTTTCTTTATTATATTAATATTTAGATCCTGCAAGGGTGGGTATTCACTGCCTTTAACCAGTGCTTTCGCAATGCCAGGGAGTCAGGCATCATTCTGCCTTGTGCTGATTTTAGTGGCTTTGTTGTTACGTGATTTGTTATGATTACAGGACAAAGACAATTAAGAATGACATCACTGGACTGCTGACATACCCACACAACAAAAGCTTTATCCTGGGGGGCTCACAATCTAAACAGACAAGTTAGGGGAGGGGAAGTTCTCCAGCTTATAGATGGGGAAACAGAGGCAGAGTGTGATCTGCTCTCAGGGCCCTTTGTGGCTGTGGGCCATACAGAGAATAGCTGCCACCAAAAGACAGCAGCCTGGGGAGGCAGGGATGGGGATCACCCTGGAAACTAGAAACTCTTAAAAGCCTGATGCAGATAAAGGTGCTGCCCATCTGGTGCACCCGTTTCCATGCATGCCAGGCAGCTGCTCCGTAGTGCTGGGGAGTGTGGGCACTGTGCAGGCATGGGACTGTGTGTGGGTATATAAGGGCAGGATCCCAGCCTGTGTGACACGGAACAAGAAGAGGTCTGAGCTGGGCAGCGCTCTCCAGGTGGGTGTTTGTGTCTGTGCTCCATTTCCAGGCTCAGTGGGGTGAGCTGTGTGCTCTCACATAGGTGCTGGTGTTGGTGTTGGCTTCAGCAGCTGCTGCTGAACATGAGAGAGCTCTGACAAGGAGAGGAAACGAAATCAATGTTTAAGCAAGGGGAAAGGTGCCTTCTGCTCTTCTCCCACAGTGGGAGCATTGATTCCATCAACTCCTGCTCACTGTGAGCACCCATCAGGCACGGTGAGACCTGGGTGCCCTCTGCACTTGGGAAGCTGCTTTGAACAGTTCGAACTGAAGTCACAGAGATCCTACAGACAGCAACAGTTCGAATTTTTGGAAGGCACTGCATCAGCTGAGCTCCATCTTGTCGCTGTTCTCACACCAGAACCAGGCGGATGTTCAGCACCCTGCCTCCAAATAGGCATTTCACCCCAAGTTATGCAGCCATAAGGAGAGCTGGGCACTGGTTCACCCAGCCTCATGTGACAGCAACACTTTGTTGTGCTGATTCTGAACTTGGGATCCTTCTGCTTTGTGCTTTCTCTTTGTAGCTGTGAAGCAAATTCACAAACAACAAGGTACGTATCTGCCTGGAGAGGCACTGAGCTGATGATCTCAGGTCTGGAAGACATGTCCTGCTTACAAACTAAGGAAGGGACATGCATAAAAGATATTTTTTTGACTAGAGTAATGTGCGGGGGTGTTTCTCTGGGGGAAGAGTGAGAATCAATTCGCAGAGGGCTAGTCAATAAGAGATGAAGGAGGTGACTGAGTTTATCTCTTTGTATATGGCAGTATTTTATTGCAATCTTGGAATAAATGAAGCCACACAAGAGATTGATGACACTGAGATAACACCGTGTTATCAGCACATATGCATATCAACATGTTGTATTACAAGGGGGAGAGCCTGAGAAAATCCCCTTTTGATCACTGCAGCAACTCCTGGTTTGACAGCTTGGATGTTGCAGGCAGGGAGGAGCTGCCCTTGCCTGGTTGCTGCATCCAAACCCGCTCCCATCACCCTCCCTGGCCTGGCACGCAGCGATGGATGGGACTGGGAAGTGAGGCAGAGGGGAATACTTATTAACTTCCACTGCCTTCAGTTCAATACTAGCTGATATTTATGTGAAATCTAATTTAGGGGTCAAATTTGACCTAACGATGTCTTTTTAATGGTGTCCAAACAGAGAGGTTTTTGAAACTAATTAAGGATCAGGTTCCAATCAGGTAGAGTGGTTAAGCTGCGGGACCAGACTTCATTAAATGCATCCAGAGAGAATATTTTAATATTTAAAGAGAGCATTTAATGTTTATATAAGTTCTCTTCCCATCTGAAGTCACTGTTAAATCACTTCAGAAGGTAGCTTTTAAAGCCCTTTATACTTGTCTTTTATGGAGCAAGGCTGGCAAACGCCCTTCGCAGCTCTCTTGGACCCAATGAGGCTTATTAAAAGATTGAGCCCATCAGTGCAGGTTTTCAGGGGTGAGAGATACGAAAACAAAATTTAACAAAGCAGCTGTAGTACGTTCTTTCTCTCCTGCAGCATCACTCTCTGCCTCGCTGTCAGAGGGATTGACGGGAGTGTTTTGCTCTGGATGTATGCAGGTCTTAAACCACTACAGCTGGAGGGCTAAAGCTTGCAGAACAGAGGAGTCTTTAACAGTACTGAAGGGCTGGGCTTTCAGTCTCTGGAGATATTGCTCAAGAACAAATCTGTTTACAAGAAACGGTTTGAGAGAGAATTGTCAGTCAAGATGCTTCTATTCTCAGCTCAGGAGCATCTGGAAGAGTAAATATACCTTTAGTTAGCTGGTGGCTAAATTAGATTGCAACTGATGAAAAGCCAAAGGGATTTCTCATTAAATGGCCCTCTCTATTATTACCCTGGCATCCTCCTTCCTGTGTTGTGCAGACTCTCGCAATGGTTTCGAAGAAGGCGGCGGCCGCTTTGCTCCTGGTGTACGTGATGTCAGTGCTGGCAGAACAGGCTGAAGGCTTTGTGCCCTTCTTCACCCAGAGCGACATCCAGAAAATGCAGGTAATCCATGAGCCAGGCACTGGAGAATGACACAGAGGTTTCTTCCTCCTCAGCTGTGCCACGTGTACCTCGCCACTGCCATTCCCATCATCCCCCTTCTGCTGGAACAGGAGATGAGACTTCGGCAGTCCCTCGCTCGTTCCAAAGCTGAGGGCTATGGGAGACGGCAGAGACAATTTGTAAGGTGTGAGAGTAGAAAGGAAAATCCAGGACTCCTTTACATAAGAAGTAGAAAACCTGTGTAGGATATCATCTGCTGGTAGCAGGTCTCGTTTTTCTTTCTTCTGTGCTAGTGGCTGTAATTTCTGTAAAGGAGCTGCAGCCTCCCATCACCACGTTGATGGGTCTTTTTGTTGTAACAAATAATTAACCATCCTCCAGATGGTTGTCACCTCTGGGATGTGCAGAGAGAATGTTTTCCTTTTGATGTGAAACTAATACTGTTGAAAGCTATCAGGCAGGCAGCCTCAGAGACTGCATCTTCTCCTTAAACACAGCCAAAGGGAGCTTCCCCCGCACTCTGCAATCCATTGATACAGGGCTGAAATCTTTTTTCCAATACCTATTTGCTTGCTGGATAGTGATTTCTTCTCGTGGGAAGCACAGACATCCTTCAGCCTCCTTGAAGGAGAGGACACGGACCCACGCACAGTCCCCAGATGGTTCATACATCGTTACCCTTTTAGCTATGCGTCTGCTGGTGATTGAGGGGCTTCCAGAGGTACGTGGGTGAAATCAGTCTTAGCTTTCTGAGCACACGTTCGAAACAAAGCGAGAGCACAGCAAGCAGTCATGGCACTGAGCACAGACAGTGATGCATTTTTCGTGTCCTGTCGTGTTGGTCTTATCCCAAAGCAACTTTATTTTGTTCTGTTTGGGTTAGGAAGAAAGAGAGGGTCCTGAAGCAAAGCTTAGCCCCATAAATGTGATAGGATGACCTTGCAGACTTCTAAGAAAGGCTGGCAATATGTAATGTATCCACAGAACTCTCCATTTGCAATGAGGGTGTGCAGGCTTTCATTAAACTTCGTGCCACTGCGACAGAAGAGAACCAGAAGTGGGCCAGCGGAATAGCTCTGTAAGATCAGTAAATCTCTTCCTGCTGGCAGCGTTGTCCTGCACAGATCAAAGCAGTCGTCCAGTACTGTCATGTTTGCTACAGATCACTGCCTGCAATCCTGTAACTCACTCTTAATCTGAGCACTGCAGCCCTTCCTGCATATCAGAATTATGGTCCCCAACGCCGTGATGACCGCAGCTGATGGGTCTGTTCCCAGACACCCACCCAGGGAACCACGCTGCTCCAGGCAGCAGTTTGACCACCAGCAGCTTGGGTTTTGTGTCCTGTTCAAGGCACACGGCATCACTGGGATGCCACAGAGCGTGCTTGGTGCTCACATGATGCTGTGTATCACTGCCTTGTTTGCTCTCTGCTGTGGGGTTGCAGGAAAAGGAGAGGAACAAAGGGCAGAAGAAATCCCTGACCTCTCTGCAGCAGCTGGAAGAGGAAGGCTTCTCTGAGCAATCTGCAGATATCGAAGGAATGAAGACTATCCAGGTATGTCAAATCGTGTGGCTCTAAGGATCCTTTGAGGACATGCAGTGGGGACAAACAGCCCAAGAGATGTCCTGTGGGTCCTGGCTGCAATGAGCACTTGGAGGTGCCACATGAGAAGACAGTGGGTGGTGTTATGGAGCTCACAGTCATGGAAAGCAATATCACCCATTTCCTACCAGTTCTGCCAGGCAACCCAGCAAGATTTCATCAAAGAAGAACTTTACCTCCATACCATAAATTATCTTAGACACTGAGCAGCCTGGACACCCCTCAGACCCACCTAGCCTCTACCTTCGCACAGGAAGATGGAAACAACATGAGGTCTTTCTTTGCCATTCAGGGAATGCCAGCCAACTGCAAGGCAGTAATTTGTAGCTCAGCAGGTCTGATTTTAACTTGTCACTCTTTCAGGCAGCTCTGCATCAGCTGTCTGGTGTCGCTCACCTCCTATCTCACAGCCCTCTGCACTGGCAGGATCTTACTTATAAACTGGGGCTCATACAGCTGCACTCCCCCAAAGGCTGTATACAGAGCAGAAAATTGCCAATTTTAGGGATTTAAGTGCCAGTCTAAGCCCTCAAAGGCATGCTTACTTGGTTAGCTAAGTCTGAAAATTGTGCTTTTCCACTTGAATGCAGGGAGCTCTTTGTCCGGTCAGTGCAGCCGTTCCTGTGGTCAGCACAACTGGCCTCTGCCAACAAAAGGAGTGTGAAGGTCCAGCCCAAACCACAGGACAGGCAGAGAGGCCACGGAATTCGGCCAACATGCAGGTCAATGTGCAACTGCTCTCCCAAACGTGGTGCACCAGCAGTCAATAATAGGATTTAAACAGCAAGGATTCACAGCTCAAAGCATTAAATAACTGGCACTTCCCAGTAGCCAGCGCTCATGCAGCCACGAGCCCTCCTGTGCCTCCAGCCATGACTGGAACAACTCTATTTACTGTGGGTACATCTGAGCCATGGCTCACAGCTGGTCAGGCTGCAGGCAGGGAGATGTCTCATCCTACACCTTTTCTTATGCAGGGTGCTTCACCAGCATCAGTAAAGCTGATGTTTTGAAGGGTCAAAGTGTGAGATAGTGGAGGATTATAAGGTGTAGAAATGATTTTTCTTCTTTACAGTCTCTGTTGCCAGTAGTGCCTTTATCTGTATTTCTGAGTCAGACTAGAGATGATCCAACACACGAAAACTCTGGCACTTTGAACAGAACACAATTGCATCGGCAGTAGATGGGGCTGAGTCCAAAACACTGTTTTTTTTCCCTGATAAAATGATCATCCTATTCCTCTCACACCAACCCCAAACCCTCAGCTGACGTGAGCAAAGTGGGGTTGAAGCACCCTGACCTGCCTGCCCATGCTCTGCTCTGCTCCTCCTCCTGATGCTCTTCTTTCCTCTGCAGCTAGCTGTTCCTGTCAGAGCTGGGATGCGGCTCATACTGAGGCAGCTGGAAAAATACCAAGGTGTCCTGGAGAAACTGCTCACAGAGGTGTTACAGGACACCCCAAACGGTACTGGCAGGGGGTTGATTTCTGCCTTGGGAATTCTGCCTTTCTCTCTTCTCACCAGCTCATCATCATGGAGATATTTATATTCCTTAGAAGGGCTTTTGTGTCATGTTTGCTCACTTTACAGAGTCCTCAGATACCCCACTCTCACGCACACACTTCCCTTCTGGGAAGGTTATATGCTCTCTTAGAGAGCTGTCTGTGTCCTAGAGCTGATGTTGGCTGTTGGCAGCATTGCAACAATTTCCAGCAGCACTGCTTCCTACCTCCCCACTCCTCCTTCTCAAAAGTCCTCAGTCTTTAGGGTGCAATTTCCAGCTGAGCTTATAAGGAAACCTGCACAGGTGAGGCACCTCAGCACCTGCAGCTGTATATGAGCACCCCCCTACACAGGGGCTTATTGTGAGTGAATTAGCTGCAACTAAAGGTGATGAGCGCTAACAACTCCAGCCCTGGAATCTGCTCCTAGCATATAGGAATTGCAAAAAGAGAAATCCAGGGGCATGATGGATGCAGCTATTCCAGATTTGGAGGGTAATGGGAGCGTTCTTACCTGTGTTCTCTCCAGACCTTGGTCTGATCTGGGCTTAAACGCCCCAACAAGAAGGTCCTTTCATCTCTGTGGGAGCTGCTGTTCTGCTTTGTGCTGATTTCAGTTTGCCTCCTTGCTCTTTAGGTGAGGAGCTGAGGAGGAGGAAATGATATATAAAGCATAATGACAAATTTTAAGGACACTTGTTCTTTCCTCTCTTCTCTTTCAGCTGACTGATACCAGCAGCGTCAGAAGAGAAAATGATGCAGCTTGCTGAAACTAAAAGGCTCCACTTATGTACACGAAATCTGTAAAAGAGATTAACAACAAAATCTGAGGTGAGATAATAAAATGCGCAGTGTAATTAAACGAAGGATTTGTGCCTTTTTTCAGCCAGATGGCAAGCAGCAAGTGTGGGAAAGATAAGAAGGAGGGTTTCCAGTTCTAGAGAAATCATCGTCCTTCTGACGAGCGCAAAGCATGCTGAAGAGCCTGAGTAATTAACCTTTGCAAACTAATAGGTTTTAGGCCTCCCTTTTGGCAAGGAGAGAAACTGAGGCACGGTTACAGGGCTACCAAGGCACACTGGTGCCAGGTTAGGACTGGGAGTGCTGGGAGCCTGGTGGGAGTCCTTACCCAGCTCTGCTCACAGGTCACCCCCACACAGCCAGCAGAAAGCAGCTGTGCTCTCCCTACCTGCAGTCTTAACCCCATCTTGCTCATCCAGGCTACATGAATCTGAACATCACCAAGAACACTCACAGCCATGATGTGATTGAGACACAGTGTGAAGCAACACAGAGCTCCAACATGATTTCTGGCTCTCACACGAATCTAGATGTGACATCGTAATTCCGCTTGAACATATTGCTCTCCATTTAACATACCTTTGGCTTATTTTAGAGCTGCTTCTCTATACTGGCAGCAGGAAATCTAACATATGTAAAGTAAGGACTGATGAGATCAATGGCATGTACTTGAATATATCCAATTTCAATCCAATTTTATCCTCCTGATCTAACACAAATTCTGTTCTTACTGTGGCTCGTTCGAATAGCTGTGTTTGTGCTAGAACAACACAGACACACTTCTACTTCCTCAGTGTGCTCTCTGCTGCAAGCCATCCCTTGGAGAAATGAAATTTCTCAATGTATAATGCAACATCCAGCACAGAATGGATTCCAGTTTTAATATTTGATTCGAAGGCATACTCCTATTGCACAGACAGATCAGCTCAGTGTAACTGGAAGTTTGCAGGGATTACTGCTGAGGCAGGTGGAGCTATGAAATCACTGTAAAAGGGTCAGAGCGGGAGGAAAATAATACATTCCATTAGAGTAAAAATGAAAGCAACTGCACATCTTGCTGGGCTAGGAGCTCAGCCAGTGCAAATCAATCTGTGGTAGACTGATACCCAAGGGAGGTCTGGCAGGGAAAGCACAGGCAGAGTTGTACCATGCTTACCTTGTCCAGCAAGATCAGAGAGCAAGCTGTTGGTTTCCAAGGGGCACTTAGTATTTCTGAAAGACCCAGATCCTTACCCCAGGCTTCATTCTGCCTTGCCATAGGAAAACAAGAAGAGTTTCCACCTGCAGTGCAAACTGCAGAAGCTTCACTACAGGCCAGAGCCTTCTCTACTGCATCCCATTTTGCCCTTCGCTTTCACTGAAGAGGATTCTTGGCTGACCTGTGGCATCGAGGAAGGAATACTGCCTAGTGACAGTAAATAGGAAAGTAAACATGAGCCTTTGGGATTTGCTTCTTGGCCCATTTCCCACAAGAATGATGTTACAGGACGCTTCTATAAGCAGATCCATTAACGTGGCTTTACTGAGATGTCCGCCTTTGCTCCCTCACTCCGACCCAGACAAGCCACTCCTGGACTGCAGCAGCACTGTCTGCTTTCAACTCAGTCCTTGGTTGTGTGCTCTTCCCAGCTGGCCCAGCTCTAAACGAACCGTGGGATGTATGGCTGGTTGTGACAGCAACCATATGAAGCCCCTTTCTGGAACAGTAACTGAACAGCCCAAATATGCACCAAGTACAAAGGAACCTTCAGCTTTTGGAAGAAAACCCTCTCCAAGCTCAGATGTTTGAGTAAAGGGAATGAAGCAGATATTCACCCAATCATCTCATCTCAGGCATGACTGCTGCAGTCAGGGCAACTTCTCTGGATAACAAGCAGAAAGGGCTCTGAGTTACAGGATGCATGTGTACACCCAGTGCTCTAGCAGGCTGCTTTGGTGCAGCTTGTTCAGCAGTACTGAAGTCCATGGCTGCAAGTAGGTGAGGAAGATCTTGCTTGCTCCAAAAACAGAGAAATGGTTTCATGGTAGAATGAGCTACTGAACAACTGAGGGAGAGAGGCAGGAAAGGAGGAGGAGGAAGAAAACAGATAGAAAAGACTGAAAGTGGCACCAACTTTCTAACCTAATAAGAGGCTCAGCAGGCTGAGGATATGACATATGATCAAGGGATAAGAATTGGTGTTCTTGGGTCACACCTGTGCAGCAGCTGTGAGTGACAGGGTGTTAAATCAGCACAGTCGGCTCTCAAGAAAGATTTGACACTTCCCCCAGTGACATATGCAGGACTGTCGGCCAAATGCCAGGGGGTAAGCAATGGGGGTGGGATGGTAGTTTCTCTAGCAGCCCTCCGTCAGGGATGGGAAGGTGCATCTGCTGCCATGCTTTTTGGAGGATGCAGCATGCTCCCCTCTTCAGGCACCTTGTGCAGAGCTATTTCTACCCCTCTGCTTATACCAGTCCTGCCTTAGTACTTTAGGAAGGAGAAGCAGGCGGCACTGCACGCCTGCTCTTCCCATATGACAGCTGAGTCACTGCCAGCAGGCCTAAGGCAGCTTCCGGGCTAGCAGAAAAGGTGGAGGCTGTCCCCTCTTTGCTGTCCCATCTTCCCACAGCCATCTCAGGGTATTTACAGCCAAGATATTCCAGCCGTGGGCTGGAAACTGGCTTTCCACAGCCAAGGATCTCTGAGCATCACAGCCCATCTGTGGCATCGGCAGGGCTGGGCTCGCCTGGCAGCCTTTGCTGCTGCCCAGGGCTGCGTGGATGATGCCCCTTCTTCTGCACAAAGCAGAAGCTCTGCCATCGGCTTCAACATCAGCACTGTTGGCAAGCTAATGGGAGCAAAAAGATGCTTTTCCATGGGGCTACTGGGCTCTGTCATCTCTGAGAGGCTTTCTGCTTTCTTCTCCATGATAATCAGGTACCTTCAGGATAGTGTTGCTCCTTAAGCTTGTCTTGCTAGGGAGGAAGTGAGAGAGGCAGTAGATTTCTCTCCACAATCTGTTCCAGCTGTCAATTTCCCTCCTGCAAAGGAATCACAGCTTTTCTGCAATCCTCTAGCCCTCAAATCCCACTCCCATGTTCATCGCAATAAAGGTCATGCAATGGTGCTGCTGGGACAAACTCTGTTTTGGTGCAGCTTCCCTGACCTCCACGAGCACAAGAAGTTGAAAAGAATCCTTTTTATTTATCCATTCCTTTTTCTTTCTTTCTTTTTTCCCTTTTCGTTGTTACTCATTTTCTCCTAAGCAAGAAGAGCTGAGGCAGAGCTTCTCCAAACTGTCTGAAAGCCGCGACTTTACAGAAACTTCTACTAAGAGCACATTTTATGTCTGTATTTACATTCAACACCACCCCAAACTATTAGCTGTCTGTTGTGCCTCCCAGACAGCGAGCAGGGCAGGCTCAGCTCAGCACGTTCACACCTCCATCGGAGCTGAGCACGCCTGGCCTCTCCACAGCGTACATTTGTTGTTGCTAACCAGATTAACAAATCTCGGTATCTGGTCGCTCAGGAAGAGCGAGGCGAGCCCTGTCTGCTGCCCTGAATGAAAAGGCTGTGACAGCAAAGCAAGCATGAGAAGAAGGAAAGGTGGAACGAAGCCTGGGTGATTTGCCTTGCGTTGAAGGCAATCCGTCCCCAAGGATGCTGCTGCTCTGGGGGACCAGGCAGAGCTCTGGCACAGCCCCACGGGTCAGTATAGCCCGTCCATCACAGAGATGGCGATGCGCGGGCAGCCTGCATGCATCCCTCACCACTTTCTCAATTATCTTTAATTAAAGTCTGATACTAAGCCACAGTATTCCAGCCGCTTTCATTACTTTCTTTACAGGTGGGAGAAGGGGGGGAAAAAAAGCAATTACTGTACATCACAGCCGTGCCAAAATAAATTTTCTAGTTGACATTTGGTTTTGCCTTTTGAAGCTGTGGGTCTGTAAGGAAGATCCTTCCCACAGATCCCCCCAGGCCCAGCTCAGTCCTGCCCAGCCCGCAGTGCCACTCACTGGGCAGCGAGGGGGGGATGAGGAAAAGCCCTGCAGCAGGCAGGGAAAGACACTTCTTTCTCCTCAAAAACGTCCCCAGAAGCGTCAAAAATCACTTTAGCTTGGAATGAGAGCAGCTCGGCTCCTCGCTTGCTTCTGAGTGCTGTGGCTCCCTGCTGAGGCTGCTTTCGCACTTCGCTTTCTGCATTTCTCTCTCTCCTGAGGTGGGCAGCAGCTTGCGCTCGGAGCCCTACCCTCTCTAAGAGAGTTCTCGACCTCCCCAACATGGCGGAGCCACCGACCTGCCTTCACAAGATGTCGGCGCATTCACTCGCCCTTCCCAATATGGCGCCCACCCCGCACTTCCCGTATAAACATGGCACCGGGCGGGGACAGGCGTGCGCCCTTCTCAAGATGGTCGCCAGAAGGTTGCTGCTGGCCCTCCTCAAGATGGCGGCCGCCCTTCCTTGCTGACAGAGTGCTTCCGGTTAGGCCTGGCGTCAGCGCCGCGGCCATGGCGGAGCTGACAGACGCGGAGCTCCGGAAGGAGCTGCTGGCGCTGGGCTACCGACCCGGGCCCATCACCGAGACCACCCGCAAGGTCTACATCAAGAAGCTAAGCTGCCTGCGGGCTGAGGTGGCGGCGGCGAAGCGCAGGGGCCGCGGCGCTCCGCCCAGCCCGGGCCGCAGCTCCGGCAGGCCGCAGCAGGCCTCACCCTCGCGGCCGCGCCTCGGCTTCAGCCTCAGCCCCGGCAGGGCCGGCCGCGACGGAGAGGAGGAGGATGAGGGGGATGAGGAGGACGGGATGGAGGAGGACGAAGAGGAGGAAAGAGGACGAGCGCCCGTGTCCCGCTGGGAGGCCGCTGAGGGAGGCAGGCTGTCCTGGGGAGACCCACGAGGGTCACCGCCCGGGCGTAGCGGGGGGCTCGGCGGTAGGAACGAGGGTGGGGCATCCCGAGATGGGCTCCGGGGGCTGAACGCACCCTCCTCGTGGAGCTCCTCCCTGGAGAGGAGCGGGGGGCTCAGGGCTGGGATGGGCTCGTCTCTGGATGATGGCTTTCGGGCCTCGAGCTCCTT